GAAATCCAATGTTTGGGGGGAGTTTGGAAGCCCAGGTTGTTCCCAGCTTGCTGTGGGGATGATCCACATCCCAGAAATCCTGTGAGGTTTTCACAAGTTTGTTTTAACCCATTAAATTTGGTTTGCTGGAGCTTTCCCTGGACCCTGCAGAGGACCCAAGCACCTGTAGGGGAGTGAGAAGGCAAAGGCCACAGGACCTGCTTCAGGAAAAGGCTGGACCCACTGGGTTCTCCTGTTCTGGGAGCAGAATTCAGCCTGGAGAATTCCCTTGGAGGGAAAAGTCCTCCAGAATGCTGGCAGAGAGTGCAAGGCAGAGACACTGGGAGACCCTGGTGTCCCTTGTTCCTCTGGCTCCGTGCTGCTCTTCAGGAGATGCTCCTGCTCTGGCCACACCACTCCTCACCCTTTTCCCTCTGAGGCTGAAATATTCCCAACCCTTCTCCAGCTGACAGCTCTGGCCTGAAATCCAGAGGTGTCTGTGCTCCTTGATTGGGATTTTAACAGCCCAGCTTGGAAGAGGCCACAAGGAAAGGTCTGGGTGAGATTTCTCTGCCTTAGGGATGAGCAGTTCCAAAGTGTCCATCCAGGGATGGGATGGGATGGGATGGGATGGGATGGGATGGGATGGGATGGGATGGGATGGGATGGACTGTCCTTTGTTTCTCTTGGCAAATCCAGGATGGAAGCAGGTCCCTGGCACAGCATTTCCATCATCCTCCTGGTGACAATTCTGGTCCATCAGAGCACAGCACAAAACCCTCCCTTGGTGATGTCCCAAGCCCTGACTCCCCCGGGAGGAGTTTCCAGCCCTGCCCTCCCCTCCCTGCGCCGAGCTCCCCTAATGAGGAGCCACTTAAAGCCGAGCAGAGCCTTTTTCCTGCCTTGTCCGAGCCGATCTGTCACCAAAGGGCCGCGACAACCGCGGGGCGCGGTGGCAGCGGCTGCTGAGAGCGGCCGGACCAGACGGGCCCGTGAATTATTGAATTTATTGAATTATTGAAGGAGCTCTGAACGCCGGGGCCAGCGGGGGTGGCCGCTGCTCCCCGGGGCTGCCGAGCCACCTGAGCCCCGGGCAGGAGCAGATTAACCCTTTGTAGAGCAGCCGGCAGCGGCTGCAGCTTCCAGGAGCTCCGGGGAGGCGCGGGGGTGGCTCGGGCACAGCCACACCGGGAATGTCGCTTGTGTTGCTTGTGTCACCTCTGTCGCCTCTGTCGCTTCTGTCGCTTCTGTCGCTTCTGTCGCTTCTGTCGCTTCTGTCGCTTCTCCTCACGCTCACGCACTCAGAGCTCCGCGCTGCCGGCAGAGCTGGCGGCTCCGGGAGGAGGGAAAGACAAAAAGATGGGGTTTGGAGATGCTGGGGGGAGTTTCCTGCAGAATTTTGGGCATCTGGGAGCCTGCACGGGGCCGGTGACTCAAGGCTGAGTTCCTCCCTCAGGCCTGAGCTCTTCTCACCCCAAACCCCACGGTGGGGTTTTAATTAACCCAGAGAGGAAAACCCTGCACAGGGGGAGAATGAAGGGGAATGAGGATGGGGAAGAGGGAGACAGAGCTGGGAGCACCAGGAGGAGCAAGGATGCTGCTAAGGGGGATTTTCCCACTGATGGATATACAGCCAGAAGAGCCTGAATTAAAAATAATTCAGTGCCCCAAATGTCTTTAAAATAATTGTGCCCCAAACCTATAAAAATAATGTAGTGCCCCAAATGTTCTAAAAATATTTCCGTGCCCCACAGGAGTCTGGCACTCAGGGATTCTGTTGCCTTTTTAGGACTTTTTAGCTCCACTTTGTTTAAGGATGAAAGATTCTTGTCTCCAGCCCTGGCTCGTGAATCACGGCCGTGGCACCGAGGAATCTGAACCTCTGTGTGGACCCTTCTGACACCCATGAATCAGGGGTTTTTTCCTCTGGTAAATATTCCTGCCTCCACAGGCAATTCCCTTTGTTATCTCTGGACAAGGAATGGATGCAGCAGCATCAGGGCTCTGGGACAACATCCTTGCAATGTGGTGGGTCACAGGATCCTGATCCCAGCATGGCTCACAATCAATTTATTGGATTTTGGGCTTTTTTAGCCAAGGAAAATCAGGCAATGGAAACATTTGTGTCTCACTTCCAGGTGACACTCCTCAATCCTTAAAAATGCAAATTTCAGGAGCTTTCGAGGAGTTTTGGGGCAGCATAAGGGGGTTTTAGCAGTGCTGGGGAGTGGGCAGGACTCTCTGGAGGGGGGTGAGGAGGATGAGGCACCGTGGGGTGAAGGGATTTGTGTCCAAGCTTGGAAAACATGGGAATAGCAGCCAGGAAGTGACTCCAGGGCCTTCCTCACAATCACTCCGTGGAATCCCAGAGTGGACACAAACAAACCCTCATTAAAACCCTTCCCTGCCTTCTCTTGGGATGGGGATGAATCATCTGCCACTCTTGTGGCTGGTAAAAGTCTTCAGAAGCCAGAGAGGGACCCAAATTCCTGTTCCACTTTTCTTGGAAGAACTTGTAAAAGCTGCTTTATGAAACTTCCTGGCAACTTCTCCTGAGTTTCCAGGCCCCTTGGTCATTTCCATGGTGCCAAACATCTTCCCCTTCCCTGGAGATCCCATTCCCAGTTGCCTCTGGACACATCAGCAGCGGCCTGGATGGTGTCCATGATTTCCACATCAGCTCATGGGAATATTTGCACCAATTTGGATGCAATTTTCACCCCCCATGAGCCTCAGGCATGTGAGGAAAAAGCACAGAGGCAGCTGGGAAAAGGGAAAGAGAAAGGAAAAGGGAAAAAAGAATGGGAAGTGCCATCAATGCTTCTGTCACTGGGCCTGTCCTGAGCCCCCATCCCGGCTCTCCCAGTACAGCCTCCAGAATAAATCAGTTTAAATTGGATTTTAGGGAAAATTTCTTCATTGCCAAGCCGTGGCAGAGCTGCCCAGGATGGAGGCACTGGGCTGGACCAGTAACCTGGATCATGGCTGGGGTCACGGCATCTCCCTGAGACAGGGAGCTGTGAGCCAGCAGAACTGAAAATTCCCTGGGAATTCTTTGATGAACTTGCAGTTACAGTGGATCAGACCTCCAGAAAAGTGGGACAAGACCCTTCAAGATTTCATCCCAATCCCAAAAATCAAAAAGGCCCATGGTGGCTAAATTTTCCCCCAGGCCAATTTCAAAGATGTTTCAAGTACCTCTTTGAGCAAATCTCTGTCATCCATCATCCATCCATCCACCATCCATCCATCCATCATCCATCCATCCATCCATCCATCCATCATCCATCCATCCATCCATCCATCCATCCATCCATCATCCATCCATCCATCATCCATCCATCCATCATCCATCCATCCATCCATCCATCCATCCATCCATCATCCATCCAGCAAATTGGTCTGGTTTATAACTCTCCCCATCTATAAATGCATCCCACAAAATATCAACAGGATACAGTTCCTGCAATTTATGGGAAAATAATCCAACAGCCCTGAGATACAAGAAAACAACAAGGAGAAACCCAAACAGAAAAATTCCTTGGATGTGAGTCCCCAGACTCAGGGATTTGATTTGTAGGAGAAGAAGAAATCACATCTTCTGCTCTTACAAAATTTAACAGGGACAAAAATTCATGGATGAACTCAGGCCAGCTCTGCTGTCAGATAATGTTGGGATTTAAGCCTCATCAGACTTCCGATGGAAAGCATTCCAGGAAATGTGTAAATATTGGGATGTTGTTTGGAGTTGTCATATTTTCCTGGATTTACATAAAGCCGGAATTTTCAAGCAAACTAAAAAGAGCTGGATTCTTTTTCCTTGCTTGGTTTTTCCAGCCTGGACAAACAGGCTGCCACAGCAGCCTAAGCTCCTTATGATCCCACTGTGTCATTCCTACCTTGGGAAAGGGGATTTCAGTCCCTCCAGCTCAACAATATAAAATCATCCAAGGAGCAGCAAGAGTTTGGCTGCTGTAAGGTTTTTGCTTGCTGGGTTTGGAATTACAGAATCATTGAATGGTTTGGGTTGGAAGGAACCTTAAAGCTCCTCCAGTTCCACCCCCTGCCATGGCAGGGACACCTTCCACTATCCCAGGCTGCTCCAAGCCCCAGCGTCCAACCTGGCCTTGGACATTCCCAGGGATCCAGGGGGAGCTACAACTTCTCTGGGCACCCTGTGCCAGGGCCTGCCCACCCTCCCAGGGAGGAATTTCTTTCCAGTATCCCACCTAAACCCCATTCTTTTAGTTTAAAACTGTTCCCCTTGTCCTGGCACCATCTGGCCGCGTCCCTCTCCCTCCTTTTTCACAATCCCCGCTGCATTCCCAGGCTGCATTCCCAGGTGATGGCGAGGGCGCCCCTGCAATTCCCCAGTCAGTCCCGCCCGGTACCAGAGCGGGAGGATGCGGGGACAGGGGATGATGGGGGGGATGCAGGGAGCAGGATGGGCTTACAGGGGATGCGGGAGCGGGATGGGCTCACGGGGGATGCGGGAGCGGGATGTGCTCACAGGGGATGCGGGAGCGGGATGGGCTCACAGGGGATGAGGGGAGCGGGATGGGCTCACAGGGGATGCGGGAAGGGCTCACAGGGGAACGGGAGCGGGATGGGCTCACAGGGGATGAGGGGAGCGGGATGGGTTCACAGGGGAGCGGGAGCGGGATGGGCTCACAGGGGAGCGGGAGCGGGATGGGCTCACAGGGGATGCGGGAGCGGGATGGGCTCACACGGGAGCGGGATGGGCTCACGGGGGATGCGGGAGCGGGATGGGCTCACAGGTGAGCGGGATGGGCTCACACGGGAGCGGGATGGGATCACAGGGGAGCGGGAGCGGGATGGGCTGACAGGGGATGCGGGAGCGGGATGGGATCACGGGGGATGCGGGGACGGTGGGGGCTGGTCGGATGGAGGCGGAGGCAGGCGGGGGAAGGCGGTCCCGGGGACAGCGGGGGACGGCGCTCGCCGCCTTCCCGGCCATAAAACGGCGGGGCCAGGGCCGGGCGGGCGGAGAGGAGCGGCGGGAGCGGCGCGGCCGGAGCGCACGGCGGGAGCGCAGCGGAGCGGCCGGGCCGCCCTGCCGAGGTAACGGGGGCGGCGGGGTCGGGGTCCCGCGGCCGGGGAGCGCCGGGACGGCTGCGGGGCTGAGCCGGGCTGTCCCCGCCGCTGTCCCCGCTCAGGTCCCCGCCGCTGTCACCGCCGCTGTCACCGCCGGGTTCGCGCCTGGGGCGGGCAGAGGGGACAGCGGGGCCGCTCTGCCCGTGCCCCCCGAGCCCCCAGCCCACCACGGGCAGCCCCCAGCCTGACAAAGGGATGCGAGCTCCGGGCACGGCCGCTGCTGCCCGCTGGGCTGTGCCGTGGGCATGGAATCGCCAGGGAAAGGGAGCCAGAGGCACTGCGGGAGGGGACCGGGAAGCCGGGACCGCGCTGATCCTCTTTCCATCCTTCCGTCTCTTCCTTGCCCAAGTCACTCCTGGTTCAAAGACGATTCTCCCTGTGAGCCGGGAGGAGCAGTGGAACGCTGGCTCAGCTCTGCCTCCGTACCCGAAAGTGCCCACAGAGTTCTGTCTTTGTCCTTTAGTTGCTCCAGAATTTGTGTTGGGATCCTTTGGAGCAGCTCCTGGGAATCTTTGTGGCAGGACATGGGGACGGGGAGAGCCCTTGGGCTCTTCCTTGGGTGTGGGACCAGTCCTGGGGGGTCCCAACCTCCGAGCAGACCCAGGGCAGCACTGAGATCACCCAGGGAGGGGGCAGAGCTGGAGGTCAGCTCAGGGAACCCCTTCCCTCCGTGCTCTCCCAAATACCTGCACAGAGCACGGCATGGATCCAGGCTCCGGCTGCTGAGCCAGGTTTATGTAAGCTGCTGATTTGCAGTGTCAAGAGACATCCAAGAACCGGCTTGCCTTTGGAAAATGTACAAATCCGTGGCATCTGCCACGGAGCAATTGCTGTAGCAGCAGCCCAGGATTTGTCTTGGTCCCAGCCCCTTGGAGAGGCTCTGCCATCTCCCAGCTTGGCTGCGAGTCCGTGTTGAGCACTTTCCAGGAGCAAGGACAGAGCAGGAGTGCCAAAAGGCTCTGTCCCTCTGTCCCTCTCTCCCTCTGTCCCTCTGTCCTTCAGGGAGCTGCTGCTGCTGTTCCCCAGCACCCCCGGGGTGCTCCCTGTGTGGCACCACAACCCCTCCAGCCCCGGCTCTGCGGGGCCCCTGCACCGGGAACTCCTCCCTCGGCAGCTGCTGCCCGCAGGATGCGGGGCTGGCGGGTCCCCAGGGTGTGACAGCCCTGCCTTTCCTGTTGTTGACAGCAGCCCCACGTCCCTGCACCTTCCTGGGCAGAGAGGCTGAGCCCCTCTGCTGCCTGGAGAGCTCAGGTGGAGATGGCACGGGCAGTGTGCCACGGGAGGGGAGGTGGCTGTGGACAATGCTGCTTGTTCCAGGAGCCAGGGATTGGGGAAGAGAGATGACTTCCAGGCTCCTGGAGAGACAAGGATCTGGTCCTGCCCGCCTGCTGACCCAAACCAGGCATTTAGTGGTGGCTTGGCAGTGCCGGGTTGGACTCCATGATCTTAGAGAGCTTTTCCAATCTAAACAATTCTATGATTCCATGTGTGATCAGGCTTGGGATCTTTCCCAATCACCTGGGACCGGGGCAATGGCTTGGGATGCCCTGCAGTCAGCCGGGATCAGGGTAGTGGGCTGTGTTTTCTGGCAGTTCTAACACGGCTGTGACCTGTTTGTGCTGCAGGAGGGAGCAGCGGGAGCTCACCATGGCCCTGGCAGACCCGGCGAGCTGTGCCAAAGGCAGCGAGGACAGCAGCCCCTTCCCCGACATCATCGAGCTGAACGTGGGGGGGCAGGTGTACATCACCCGGCTGCCCACGCTGCTCAGCGTGCCCGGCTCCCGCCTCTGGCAGATGTTCACACAGCAGAGCGTGCGCTCGCTGGCCCGCGACAGCAAGGGCCGCTTCTTCGTGGACCGGGACGGGTTCCTGTTCCGCTACATCCTGGATTACATGCGGGACCAGCAGCTGGTGCTGCCCGAGCACTTCCCGGAGCGCGGCCGGCTGCAGCGCGAGGCCGAGTACTTCATGCTGCCCGAGCTGGTGAAGCTGCTGGTGCCCAAGCTCAGCGAGCAGAACTCCCTGGGGGACGATCCCTGCCAGAGCGACCCCGAGGAGCCGTCCCCCGGCGCGGACGCCGCGCGCAGCCTGGGCTCGGCCGCCGCCACGGCCGCACCGCCCAGCACCGAGGGCCGCAGGGCAGGGTTCATCACCATCGGCTACCGCGGCTCCTACACCCTGGGCAGGGACAGCCAGACGGACGCCAAGTTCCGCAGGGTGGCCCGGATCATGGTGTGCGGCAAGACCTCGCTGGCCAAGGAGGTCTTTGGGGACACCTTGAACGAGAGCAGGGACCCGGACAGGCCCCCAGAGAGGTACACGTCCAGGTACTACCTCAAATTCACCTTCCTGGAGCAAGCCTTTGACAAACTGGCCGATGCCGGCTTCCACATGGTGGCCTGCAACTCCACGGGCACCTGTGCCTTCGCCCACGAGCAGACGGACGACAGGATCTGGACCTCTTACACCGAATATGTTTTCTATCGTGAGTGACACAAAACCAACCCTCCGCCAACCAACCGCTGACTGTCCCTTTCCCGTCCCCACATGCTGGCTGTGGCCTAGAAGGTAGAGATCCATCCCCGAATCCCGGCGTCCTCCCTTTGCCTCCTTTTCAGTTGGTTCTTGGGTTTTTTTCCCTCCTCCTTGCTCCACGTTGAACCTGCCCAGCTCTTCCTTGTAGCAGCTGCTGACCATCAACCTTCCTCCCTCTCTGTGACCTCTGCAGTCGCTCCCAACCCTCCCTGGATGTGTGGACTCGGACACTGCTATGGACGTGGGCTGGGTGGGAGGGGTGGGACACACTGGACACTGCTCTGGGCTGGAATTCCTGCAGCTGGATGGGCTTGGACACTGGACTGGGTTCTGTGTCCCGTGCAGCTCCACGGGATCCTGCTGCACACACCGGGGGTTCGGAGAGGAACCCTTGGGATAAAGACACGGGAAAGGTGGGAAGCAGAGGCGGGGAGGGGGTGGGGGTTGGGAAGTGGCAGCCTGGCAGCACGTCTGGATTGGCAGGAGCCCTGTAAGCAGCTTAGCCTGAGGCTGGCAGCGCTTGGGAAGGGGAGAGGCTCCCCCTGTGCTCGCAGCTCTGAGCTCAGACATCGCCGTGGCTCCGGGGTGCCTCGGGAGGGATTTTGGGGGGATTTTGGGGAGGGTGGGAGGGGCAGATGTTCTGTGAGGGAGGTGGGGGGGAGCGGGGAAGGTTTGGTGTGCTTGGGGGTGTAAAATGCTTATACAGCTCTCCAACTCCTTGGAGCCTTGTCAGCCAAAAAGTCCCTTCATTTTTTCCTGGGAGAACAATGGGAATCACGGGGATGAGGCTGGAATGCTCAGATGGCAGTCAGGCCACAGCTTCACCCAGCAAAGGGAATTTTGGCCATTTGGGTGATCTCCCATGAGGTGTCTCCAATGCCAGTTCTCCAGGCCCTCCTGGGGCTGGAGCTGAGGCTGCTCTCCCCCAGTGGGGGATGAGGAATAAAGGGACAGCCTGGAGTGCCTGCGTGCCCCGTGCCCAGCTGGCACAGGACAGGGGAGGTTTGGTGGGGGGCTCCAACAGGAGAAGGAAAGAAGGAACACAAAGTTATGGGAGCCTCTGTGCCCTGCTCTGCCCCTCCTGTGCCTGCTGGGCAGGATCCCAGGGCAGCTCATCACCCTGGGGGATGCCCAGCCCCAGCTCTGGCACACGGCCTCAGCCTGCAGGGGAGGTGAGCCTGATGTCCCTGATGTCCCTGTCTGCTGCCTGTGCCTGTCCCCTGGTTCTCTGCCACCCCTTCCTGGCATCCACCATCCACCCGAGGCACCCATCATCCATCCCTGGCACTCACCCTCCATTCCTGTTCCTCCACCCTCCATTCCTGCTCTTGCATCTTCCATCCCTGTTCCCACCATCCATCTCTGTTCCTACACTCAATCCCTGCTCCCACCACCCATCCCTGTTCCCCCACCACCCATCCCTGCTCCTCCACCCTCCATCCCCTCTCCCACCCTCCATCCCTGCTCCCAGCACCCACCCCAGCCCCTGTGAAGCTCCTGGAGCTGCAGGATCTCCTCCCTGGCTGGAGAGCATCCAAGGGGCCATTCCAGCTTGGGATTCATGTGGGAGGAAGGTTTGCAGCTCCTTCCTGGAGAGGAGGGAGGGCTCTGGGGCCAGCAGAAGTTTCAAACCAGGTTCTCCCTCTCTCCTGAAGAAGGGGAAGGCAAAAATGGTATTTTGACATTTTTCATGGTCCTGTTCCTCATTCCAACAACCACTGGAAGAGGAAATGACAACAGGCTTTTAAAAAGGCAAGAAAAAGGAACTTGAGCTCTGTGTGCACACAAAGAAAACCTTTAAATAAAGGGGGAGGGGACCTGCATTCCATATTCGCTTTATCTTTTTGAACTCGAGATTTTCCTAAGTAGGATTGGGAAAGAAAATTGCTGCCTTGTGGGAAATGGGGCTCTTTTGATGTTTTTCCCCACTGGAACTGGGCTGAAAAATTGATCTCTTGGGAGGAGGAATTTTTGCATGAGGGAGAAACCAGAATGGCAGAGTCACCATTCCGGGGGTTTTGATGTGGCAGTTCTGGGATCAGGGCTGATCCCCCACAGGAAACAAGAGCAGGGGTTATGCCTGAATCCTTCCAGAGCCCGATGGTTTTCCTGGAAACTGAGACTTCATGAAAAACCCTTTTGTTGAGATCCATCTCCACAAAAATGCACCCACTTTGGGGCTGTTTCTTTTCCTTGCATGTATTTATTTATAGGAAAAGTGTCCTTGTCATGGCTAGGAGGAGAACCTGGCTCATTTGATCCCCAGGAAAGATCTTGGATCAAATCAAACTTGCAGGGAAGTGGTGGCATGGAAAAGCACCTCAGGGAGGATTGTTCTGCTCCTGTGAACAATCCTGGCAAGCTGGGAAGAACCAGGCAGGGAATGGCTGGAGAGAGCTGGGAGCTCTCAGGGAGACGGTGGAGATTCCCTGATGCTGCCTGGTTTTCCTGGGAATATTCCCATATTTCTGTGATTCCCAGACCCTGAGCCCCTGCTGGGCCATCCCTTGGGCTTGTCCAACCCACCCAGAGCTCTCTGCTTGTTCTGTCCTTGTGCTGCCCCGAGCACCTCCCACCCCCAGGGAGAATCCAGCCTTGTCCAGCTCCTTCCCTGCTGGGTTTGTGCTTGGAGCTGGTTTTCCCTTCCCACCGAGAGGACAGGACCCTGCTCCTCAGCTTCCTGCTGGATTAAGCCAGGTGCTGCTGGGGGCACATCCTGCACTTTTCCAGGAGCTCCATCCCGAGATCCTCCTCCCCACTGCATTTCCAGGGCTGGCAGAGGTTTGGGATGGCCCAGCTCATCCCTGGGAATGCTGGCACCCCGAGGGGCAGAGCAGAGCTGGAGCAGGGGTGGCTGGCACGTTCCAGGGGGGATTATCCACCTCATCTGGGAAAACCAGGGCCGGCAGGGATCCCTGGGATTACTGAAATCTGCCCTGCCCTGAGGACTCAGCAGCTTCTCTCATCCTGCTGGGAATGAGGGCTGAGGGCTGGGATGGCTTTGGGATGGCTTTGGGATGGGTTTTAAGGCAGGGAGGTCCCAAGGGGTGTCCAGGCAGCAGATCCCCTGTGGGTCCCTGGGAAGGCGCCTGCCCTCCCTGCACACAGCCAGGAATGTTCCCTCAAAGAACATTCCCAAGGGCACTTCCCCAGGGGCAGCACAACCCAGCCCCTCATCTCCAGCTTCCTGGAAAAGCCTCATCCCAAAATAAAACCCCTGGTGGGAGGGAGGGAGGCAGAGCAGGAGCTGGGGCTGGCTCTGCCCTCCCAGGCAGCCACCTGCCCACAAATTGCTGGTTGCTCCTCACAAAAACTGAGCTTAAGGAAAAGCCAGATCCCATCTGTCTCCATCAGGCACTTCTGCCACCCCTGGAGAACATCTGGAAACACTTTGTGTCCTCGGCCTGGCTCCAGCCCCTCTCCAGGGGCACCTTTGGAGGCAGAGGAGTCCCAAAGCTGAGCTCTCCCCACCTCGTGGAGCAGCTCAATCCCATGGGACAAGGAGGCTCCTGTGGGGGTTAGAGGGGGACACAAAAATCCCATTCCCAGTCCTGAAATCCCATCCTGCCACAAAAGTCCAAGGGATTTGATGGAATGTTGAAATGGAAAGGATTTGGTGCTGGAGGAGAGGGGAGAAGCAGCTGGAAGGTGGAACCAACCCCTTCCTCTCTCAGATAACCAGGGAATGGTTTGGCTTGGAAAGGACCTTAAAGCTCATCCAGTCCAGTCCCACCCCTGCCAGAAACAGGGACAACTCCCACCACCCCAGGCTGCTCCAAGCTCCCTCCAAAATCTTATTAATATTAACAAATAAACCCCCAAACCTCCCTTTAACAACATGAGCATCCAGCACTGGGAAAAACCACTGGAGAGTGGGGGATCTTCCAATTCCTGGTGCAGAAACTGCAGCCTGGATGCTTTGTCAGGAGGGGTTTAACAAAACAAGGCTTTGAGCTTGGTTTACCAGCTGCAGCTGCTGTGTTCTGGCCACTGAGAGACCTCTGGGCCTCCTTCCCAGGGCTGTGGGGAGCAGGAGGGGGAAGGCAGACGAGTGTTTGGGTCCCTTGGAGGTTTTGGGAGCTGTTGGATGTGTTGGATTCTGGCGAGTGCTGGAGAATTTGCCAAATAAATCTCCTTCAACCTGTGCTGACACTTTGTGCTGAGCTTAAGCAGGCTGGACTTGGGCATGTCCAGGAGGTTTCCTTCAAAGGCTCTGGCAGTCCAAAATGTTTGCCTTCATTCCAGGTGATGGATGGCTGGGAATTATCTCCCCCTGCTCCAGGAGGGCTGGACAGGATCTGAGGGAAAGATGTTCCTGCAAATAACCTTAACCAGATTCCAACTAAATCACTTTGGAGCCAAAGCACAACCTCTGCATCCCAATGTTTGCTGTCCCTCCTTTCCCTCCCAGTGGGATAAATCCACCAGCATGCAGAGCCCACCAGCATCCTTAAAGGATGAATCCTTCCTTCACCCCCACACCCCTAAAAACTCCTACCAGGAATGAATTTAAGGTTCCTTCCCACCCAAACCAGTCTGGGATTCCATGATCTGGAATTTTGGAGGGAGATGGAGCCTTGTCATGGCCCTGTGCCATCATCCCAAGCATCCTGTGGGAAGCAGGAAGGAGGAGCACCTTGTTCCCTGGACATGAAATCCCTGGAATGTTCCTCCAGGGAACAACAGCCCCTTCCCAGCAGGAGCAGGCATGAGGGGCTGCAGATTTTGGGGCCATTTCACAAGGAAAATGGCCTGAAAAAAATCAGATTTTTCCCTCAAAATTCAGCTTTTGAGTTCCCATCTAGTTAGAACCATGCAATATTCCAAACTGGAAAGGACCCCAGGGCTCATCCAGTGCAGCCCTCCAGGAATGGACCCTGCAGGGATCAAGGTTTGTTTGGCTTTGGTTTGGGGCCCTTTCCAGGACTAGGGAGGGCCCAGCCCCACAAACCCAAACAAAGCCCAAATGTTTAAGGCTCAAAGATGAAAAGAATAAATAAAGGAAACTGGGGAAGAAAAAAGGAAAAATCAAGTTTTCCAGCCTTGTGCTGTGGGATTGGCCAGACAGGGAGTGTTTATTGGGGTCAGATGAGGAGAGCACAGGAAGCTTTGGGGACCTGGAGAACCCCAAGGGACAACAAAACAACCTCAAAGTGGGGCTTGTGCCTCGCCCAGCCTGCCCTGCCTCAGTTTCCCCAGGCACAGCGAGAGGAAATGGGTCCTTTGAGGTCCCTGTGGGGCTGCTCTGGAGAGCAGAGCTCTGCTGGGAGCCATGGAAAGGATATTCCAGGAGTGCCCTCCCCTCTGGGATGTGGGGAAATTCTTGCTCTGCTCAAACACAGCCTGAAAACATCTGGAACCCCAAACACTGAGAGAACCATGGAATATTGTCCTGGAATCATGGAATGGTTT